TGTGTATATATGTGTATGTATGCGTGTATCTTGGAATCCACCCAGGTAATTGTGGCAGCATTCTTTCATTCGAATTTTACATCTTTCTCGCAAGAGAGCTCTTATATACACCCGCAGAAATTGTCATTGTACGATAAAATCGGGATTTTATTCGCATTAGAAGACGCGATATCAATCAATAATAAATATAAAAATCCGGCATATATATTTTATAATATTAAAATATGTCGAGCCGTGGCTTGTTGCAAAATTATCTTGATTAAAAAATCATCCTCCTATTGGTAATCAAAATAAAAAATGGTCGGCTAGGAACAAAAACAAGATACACAGAGTTCGTAAAATTAAAATTGTCCTGAAATTATCTCTCTTACAATACTGACGAAAATCAAACGTGTATGTAAAATTTTTTTAGCGAACTGTGCGTTTTATCGGAGATTGATTTTACAATTTTTATATAATAAGATACGGCAAGGGCATACAGGTAACAGCGTATAATTTAGTCGGGATACGCGAACGCAAAAAGCATGATACCTTTGGATAAAATACATAACGTCTCAGTGCAGACGACACTCAATTTTCGCTGTACGTTTGAAAACGAATTAATTTTAAATTTGCAAAAAACAATTTTTTCGCAACAATTCGAGAATCGTAAAATATGTAAAATAAAATTAGCTTACAATCATATACAAAAATCACACTTTAGAAAATAATCGTTTCTAATCATAAAATTAATTAAAATTTAATAATCTAGTAATTTGTTTATATGATATGTGAAAAATGATCTTTAAATGCGGCTTGTACGCTAAACCGCAGTTTCCAAGTAAAATACATACATACGCTAAAGAAATAATGAACGTTAGAACGTTAGAACGATATTGATCTTGTAGTTCGTCATGTTACGATTTACGGATTTTTTAAGAGTATAAATCTCGGATCACACAATACATTATCGCTGCGCGACGACGATTCGCAACTACGTTGGCTATCACAATGTCCATCGCGACCGCAGTAAGAGGATAGTTTTAATACGCACTTCGTATAGCTTTCCAGAACATAAAGCTCTGCGTTATCTGGATTATACGCTTCGATTATGCACAGAATTATGCTAGGAACAAAGCGACAGTGACATTATACAATAATTATGCCATGAACTTGTTCTGCAAAGTACACTGCAGCGGTAAAAAGATGTGACGAGGAGAACGCTTAAAAACTATGGATTGTAAATGAACGTGAAATTGTGTGTGTATGTGTATGTATACTTTTGTATTTGTGTGTCGCCAAGTTTTTTTTTTCACAGGCACGTACATACGTAATCTATAATACATTTTGAGAGCTAGGAAACGGGGGTCCAACGAAAAACCCATTTTGGTTACGGTAAAAACTTCGGGCTTGCCAGTCACCAATAAGATATACAGTGACCGAGGAACAACGATCAAGAATTCTTCGTTGAATACGAAATAAAACATAACGAAAGGCCGGCCGCACTGACGTCGATTAATTTTACACTCTGGTTAACTCAATATTCTCTCACTATGTTGCTCTACAGCTATAGCTACAATCTACAAAAGAACAGTCAATCGCTAACCAGAATTAGATTGAACATTTTTATAAAAATTTTCAAAAGCCGAAATCTGTGGTGTTTTAAAGATTAAGAGAAGAAAATTTTTACATTAAAATTTGACCTCTCTAAATATCTCTCTTCCTTCTAAATTCTCGATAGTTGAATTTTGCTAAAAAAATTTCAAGCGACTTTAATCAAGTCGTCAGTGCAAGCGGGCCTTAGAACCCCTTTATGCGCGCGATTTTTGCTATATGTCACAACACGATGATTGACAAATTCATAGCACAAATACGAAACTAGTACGATATAAATTTTATCTCGAGGACAAAGAGAACATTTATTAATACAATCGACGATAACAACATGATTGTCAGCTACTTGATATTTACAATTTACTTGATCCGAATACATTTAGCAGATATATGTTTTCGAATGCAGATCGAAATTTAATTTGTAGACGAAGTTAATTATAAATTATCAAATTGTATTTAATATCACTATAAAAATCGTTACAAATTTAATATCGTTACAAAAAACGTTAGAATTATCGTATTGTGATAAAGATAAAAATCGGTTGCATAAATAAGGCTCTATGATACGCGATTAATTGGTCGATCCCTTCGGCAAAAAGAGTCGCAATGAAATAAATATGCAGCGGGAAATACGTTGTCTCTTCTGGTCACTAAAAGCCAGCGTTAATCTATTAGTTAACCAACATTCGTTTTCCGCTTTTATTCTTTTTCTTATCAACTATATCGTTATGTTGTCTAGAGATCAGTTTCATCGATTGACACCAACCGCGATTAATCAAATTCTCCTTTTCCACAAAATGTCATGCTATATTCTTATATATTAAAAATTATTTATTTCAATTGCATGTTAATATATTTTTCTTTAAAGCAAAAAAATTTATTTATACTCTTAGTTATATTCAAATATCTACAGTATATAAATTCTGGAATCTCAAAATTCTGAAAGAAAACTGTGTCCTTTTTTATGACAACTCACATTACGATCGAGAGAATCGATAGAATCGAGGCTGAAATCATCCGACATATTCGTGAAAGAAACCGATCTTAAATTCCTGCTTAAGTGACTTAATACAGTGGCCTGCTCTAAAATCACTTAACAAGTACCTCTATCTGCGTCGTTCATTGCACGCTACGCACATGCCGCGGTTGTATAAATGATCGTGTACATTTTGGAGTTGACGAACATTCGTTTATTCGGCTTCTTTACGACTAGTCATCGTGTGCGAGCCGAGCCGCGATCGCATATGTGAGAAATGCATCAAATGCAATTTCAAGTATGTCGAGCGTGTATATCGCATGCCGGCGTGAAAATCCTCGGTCCAAAAACTCCGTTGGACACACGCGACTAACCGGTTAACGACCCTCGATCAATCGATCATTAATCGCCGATCGATAGGACGACACGCGCGACCGTCCGCTTCGCCAAAAGCAATTTTCCACGCAATTTCCCCGGAATCATCCAGCTGCAGATCGTATCCAATGGATCGTTATTACAGAATAACTGGTCGCATTATGGAATAATCCGACGGTTCTTAGAAGCCGTAAGTGAGTCAGCGTAACGAATCCATTAGGTGAGACACTAAACGCAACATTGAACTTTGCAATTTAGCGCGTAAGTGAATGTAAATTATATGTATAACGCATTATGTCTCTGGTATAATACACAACATGCGCTTCGTTATTATAAATCGTCTTTAATATTCAATCGGATTGGAAGAATAAAATTCAAAGGCATAGAAATAAAAATAATCGTTTAAAACATGGACCACGTGAATAGAGAGATAAAAATTCCTAGCTATTAGACAGATGTAAAAAACGAGAATTTTTTTTTTTTTTTGTATTTGTAAATAAAATTTTCGAATGTGACAAAAATCGACCTCTCGGCTATTCTGCTTTCAAGATATATATCTACATCTTTTTCTTCGTAATTCGATAGAATGCGCATTTCCAACTTTAGCACAGTTTCGCATTGTTCATTGTCAGAGCAAGAAAGTTCGTAAAACACGAGCTGAGACTCGACTTTGGAATACGAGACTAGGATAGAAGGGAGGGGTTTGCGAATATGAGAGATTTTCACGCGACGCCACACGCAATCTGGCCCTCTCGCTTCCACGGGGTAAAAGTGCACACCGGCAAAGTGCGATCCATCGCGATGACATGATTAAGAGGGGTTGCAAAGGGGGACGGATCACGAAGCGAGAGGGTCGGCGTTCAACAAACTTTCGAGGCACCTGTTCGCTACGTACACGTATATACATGTACACGATGTATACTAAACGCGCATCCCTAATTTAAGTTTAATTTTACGAAAAACTCTTAACTATCATATACAAACGCTCACGCAATTATAATATATATACATTGTTAGAAACGTGATACACAGTCTCTCGTCGTTTTATTCCGCAGTTCGCGCTCTTTCTCTCTCGTTATTATTATTTCTTTCGCCGATTATTCTGCGCTTTTATCACTCTGAACGTTTCGCACTCTCTCTTTCTCTCTCTTTCTCGCAAGATGATTATTAATTCTTAATTGGTGATGTGGAAAAATTCGATACAATTGGCAATGAAGGATCTCTCAGATTCCTTATTTCTTAAATCTTTATTCGAAAAATTTTCTGGCCATAATATTAATATTACTCCCTTTTATATTATCTAAGATCTACATAAAAATAGGAGGAAAAATAAAAAAAGAAAGAAAAATTATCACGTTGAAATAAATGCTTTTAATTATTTATTTATTCGCTTTGCATGCATAAAGAAAGAAAAGACAAAGTTTAAGCGCTCTGAGAGACCCATATACCTTGTTATGGATTAAGATGCTCGTACATAAATTGATACAAGAGTATACGTATAATATACAGGATATCCCAGATTGGATTGTGTGATTAGTTTGAAATCGATTTTTCCTTTTTCTAGTCTCTCATACAATCGCTCGTTCATTTCTCTCGCTTCGCGTTGTCTCGATACGTTCATATACGATTAGTCTCGAATATACCATTTTTCCGGTTATATTTCACATCCTATTAACGTCTGCGGTTAAAAGTTTACCACAACGATCCTCGAGTCGAGGTTGATCGCCCTCGATCACCGAATCCCGTGAATCTCATCGAGAGAATCCGATACACTAATCGAGCTATAAAGTTCTATACGTTGGATTTACACCGGTCGTTTTATGTTCGTGTACATGATTTATGTTTCGTTAAACATTCATGCTCGAAATTAATAATTTAAACAACGCTATGAATGACGTTAAAACGCGATATTGGAAACTTAATTTATTTGTCAGAGTCACGTTAGGTATTATCGAAGGAAACTAAATTATGGAATTATATTATATAGCAAAAATTATTTATTTACGTTCGAGATTCAAACAAAAATACCGAAGAAATTTGCCACAAATATTTCGTGTTTTTTTTTTTTTTTTTAATTATAATCCACAAAGTAGCAATGTACACGACATGTATATTCGAATGTACGTATATTAATAAAGCTATTTGTCGTTCCTAATTCAAAAACGACAATACGTATCGAGCTCGCGTTTGACAGACGAACTTTTATAGAAGTCCCATAGGATTAATATACTAGTATTGTACGATATGTTACTAGTATATGGATTCTGTTTTATCGCTGTACTTTACCTGGATACTCTATATCAAAAACATGCGTTTTTCTCTCATCTGTCACACTTACATCAGCACACCCATGCACATCAGCTTCTTTTAAATCTGCGCTCAACTAAAATAATTGAAGAGGCAATCAGCAAATATGTATAACGCGCGATATTTCTAAGATAATTTATAAATTAAAGATATTAAAGAAACATCGTTTGTGAGGATTAAAAGGAATAAGATCACCGTGAATTTTACACAAGTGCAACGGAAATGATCCGTGCGTCTTTTTACATTATGAGAAATCTCCGAAACATTGCAAATAATCGGAACATACAGCTCTAAATCGGAAATCATTCGTGCTTATATCGAGCGTTATAAATCTAGGATTTATCTTGTTGATGTCACAGAATGCGTTGCGTAAATAGCGAGAGAAAGCGTCGGATCTTAAATCCAGAAGCAGAAAGACGAGAAAAATAGGAAAGGTCGATTATTATCTCGTGCAGCTCTCCCAAAGAACAGACTTTACGCAATCTTCCTCGAGATCAGTCGATGACAATTGGCGAGTGGCTTTTGTGTCGCGAAGTTGCATAGGCAACCGGGAGTGTTGTAAACGTGAATCACATTAAAATAGTGAGGAGATAAATTAAGAAATAGTGATTAGTTAACACGTCGAGTGCCGCATTCAACGCCGCAACGTTGAATATTGTTGATTAAATTTTGTCAGGGTATGTGTTTGGATTACAGAAACATGTAACGTTTCTGTAATCGGAAAACACAAACTCACAGTATTTTACGTCCGTTAACACGTATATCGTAATTCCAACATACCATTTTTTCCAGCAGAAAAAAGATTCGATTTCGTTACGACTGCTGCTTAAATGTAATATAATCATCCGACAACAATCAAAATACGATCTATATTTAACAAGAATATAATAATACGAAAAACGCCCATATTTACTGCAAGAAATAATGATATAAGTTTGAAACTGAATATAAAATTATGCCAGATAATTATTACGAGTCAGAGTCCTTTGTTGAATAATCGTTTATTATCTTCAGTTACTGTCCGAAATTTTTATAAGCAATCATAAAATATACAGGTATCTAAATATTATTTGTTTTTTCGAAAAAATTTATCTCTAATTATCGCCAAGAGATATTTATGTATATACAATATTTTTTTAATAGTACTACTAAATTAATAGTAGTATATTATTACACTATTTTATTTATTACACAATGTACACTTAAGCGCATTCGCGAATGCAATCTTACTAGATGTATAATAGTAATTTCTTTGCATGCAACATTAGCAAATCGTCGCCGGCACTCCACATGTTAAAATTCGCGACAAATGGGGAAATGGAGACTAGGTAAATGCATAAATGAGCCAGCTTGTAAAAAAAGCGTGGCGCCTACCTAACAAATTATCGGCAGTGATAGTCCGATCTCGGCGCAGCAAATTATCGTCCAAATATTGCACGCGCTGATCGTCGAGACCGATCAATACGTGTTGTTCTTTTTCGATCGACTTTTGGGACTCGGCGGAGCAACGACGGATTACGGTTTTACTTTTCTAGGATTTAGTGAGAAGCGCCGGTTAACACTTTCACGGCCAGTCATTATCTTTCGACGTGATTAACTTTTTCAAATGCAAATTGCGCGATGCGATAATCTCGATGTCCGACATAATTGTTATTGTTACGGACGAACTGAAAATCTACAAAATAATATTGCTGAAAAATTAATAGGACTATATACTATTATTACTGCATGCTAAATACAAATACAAAATAATCGGATGTGATTCATTCGCGTTTAGAATCAATTTAAGATCAAGAAAATCCAGACTTGAAATCCCTGTCACAAACATCGTCTCGTGTTTTCCAACGCATCATTGGACCGGATACTCAAAGCTGAATCGATATCCAGTATTTTTATTCACTCGGTCATCGAAAAGAGGCCAAGTATCGACCGTAAAACGTAAAAGGCCCACTTATATCCCTTATAAATAATGTTTGTATTATTTATAAGGATATCTGAAGCGATATATTTATATAAATATACCGATACCTTTGGAGAAGGTATTGCATCGATACTCGTTCCTCGTACACCGATAGAGTGAAAGAGTAGAGGGCATCGATATTTTCGCGTTAGTATTCCTACCTACGACAGGATTAAGCTACATCGCACTTTACAAACTCATCATTCGATACATCTCGTATATAATATGGTACTTTACACACACATGTATATATTTATCTACATTCGTTAGTATAAATCCCAATACGCCTAAATTCCATATCACAAAGACATGCCGTTCGGTCTATCACGATTTTTTTATAACCGCCGCCGATCGCTCATCCTTCTCGAACTTAATCGACTTCGTCGCTGCTGTCATTGCCGTTGCATCGACACCCTTTTCGCCCTTTTCTATATTATTTTTTTTTTTTTCGTCGCGTTTTACCTTCGTCGTCATCTCGTCACTCATCCACGCTCTCAATTCTTACGACTGTTCGCCACGCACGTTTTGTCCGACTAAATTTAGCGGTTTTGCATCACCGGAGTCATCGCGAGACGCGTACTTGCATTGTTCGCAAACCCGTATGTTATCGCTCTGAAAGCTACTCTGGTGTACAAATTGCTCGATGACTAAACAATCGACCACAAAGTAGCGCTTGAAATAACTCGGGAAAAATCAATGACAATGGTAAGATAAGAAGTGATAATTAAGGCGCGTTTAACGTTTAATGAAGGATGCTATCCAAGAACAAATGATGCATATTAATTATTCTGCGTTGTGAGCGCAGCGATATATTTATACTTGAATGGAATTATATAGGAAAGAATCGATTACCGATATCAAACAGAAGCGAGTTGCGTTTTGTCTTTGTATATCTATATAAATAAATATTTAAATATCATTGCTTAGATTTTTCATTAAAATAGTCATACACAGTAAAACGAGTCTTGATTCTGAAAATATGTCTCTAAGGTAGATATGATCTATCTTAGGAACAATATTTTAAAGTCACTTCTTTCTTAAATAAATGTAACAATTTAAAAAGTTCTCCGTTTCGCAATTACAATTTACCATTTATAATTCTAATTACCATTGATACGTAAGTTGATACCATTTTATATATACATATATATATTTAAAAATAACTTTTATATAAAAATTATTCATATATTGCGCTACATCGCATTCTTTTCTTTGAAAATAATTATAAAAGCTTATTTCTCAATTTTATATATACATAAACCATCCGTTTATTATCAGATCTATAAAATATCGATAATAGCGCGGAACTAAAGTCACAGGACATTCAAATCTTTTAATCCGCGCGTATGAGCAAGAAAATTCCTTTCATTTTCGGACGTGGTTTTTTGTTACGCGTTCTTTAAACCGGATTTTCCGCTGTAAAGACGTGACTTGTAAAACTCAATCAAATGTACCTGCGGGAGAAAAGAACATGAAAGACGGATGATACGCGAAAAAAGAAAATTTTTACCGTGGGCGGTAACCGCGCGAGGGAAAGAAACCGAGTCGTTTTCGTTCCGATTTAATGCACATAGCGCGTGAATAATAAGCGCCGAGAAGAGAATGCAGAGGGAAATTAATCCAGTTAGTCCAGACGGAGACGAGAAGCGCCAAGTTAATAAACCCCATGCGCGACCTCTTCGTCGTAAATTGTGCGTCACGCAGTTTATCGCGGATAAATGTAAGCGAACTATATACGCATAGTCACGTAAATATATATTTCCCCGACGTTTCACTCCTATTAATCGACAGTGAAAATTTTCTCGCAATGAGATCTCGCTTTTAATGAAATACGCTTCAAAACTGACCGAAATTTAGAATCGGTTGAAACTCTCTAACAAGCACTTATATAATTCATCACAAATGTCTCGCGGCAAGCCGAATATTCGCTCAAGTTTCGCAATTGTGGATTCGTATAATGAGAAATTTGATACAGAAAGTCGCACAGCTCCACATCGTGTTTTTAATCACAATAGCAAGAAAAAGGCTAATAAAAGTCTAACGCGCAATTTAAAATACGCAATTAATTATAGTAATTGCGTGCATCATAAAAAAAACATCGAATGTTTTTATTCATTCCAACAATTGAAAGAATGTAAATATTTAAATCATATGCGTCTAATTAAGGTAAATATACTAATACAATGATAATTAAACTCGCGTAAAATACAAAAAAAAAATGTACATAAAATTTACAAAACAAAAGTTACAAAATATAAATGTATCGCGATTCTTTTCTATATTTGTAGAACATTCTTAATAATATTCGTAAATGATTCAATTGATCGAACCCACAAATCTTGCGATTTATAGTTTTCACTCAAATTGGCCTTTTATCAAGTTTATAGCGAATTGGACATGCTAATGACATAATGATATATTTTCCTCACAAAATCACATGACTCGCGATATCAAAAGAAACATTTATAAACTGATGACGCGCGGAAAATCAGCATCCCTTTTCGCGCCTTTTGTGATCTAAGTCAATCTTATGATCCAAATTACGCTATTCAGTTGAGCATGTGCCACCCCGTTATTAGATTGCATCTCTCGCGAGCGAGTCGCTATATCTGTTTACCTCGCCAGCGGCGTCGCGACGCACCGTGTTGATATATCTAACTGTACCACGTACGTCCCATCGAATCATCCGGGTTCCCTTGGCACATTAATTATCAAGATGTTTAGTAATGATAAATAATCGTGATGACAATTGGGCATTAATTATAAATCGGGGTTTATATGTTAATATATATCAGAATTGGCGATTCTGTTCGATATCGTCATTGTCTTATCTCGGTGTAATCAGTCGCGTCGGTTCGCTGAAAAAATATGATGTTGCAAGTAGGAATGAAAATGATTCGTATATCTCGCATCGTAAGTTTAACAGTAATTACATACATCTCTGTATTTGTGCGTCTCATCAATTAGTCGCGATTTCTTATACTTAACAAAACAGATTTACTGTTTTAAATATCCGACATTATGTTTTATCGGACAAACAACGTTGCGAAATGCAGTCGAGGGAACGAGCATAAATGAGTATTTCGAATTATCATCAAGTATTGTCTCTCGTTATTTTTGCTTCCGAAATTCATCAGAAAGAAAGTATTGCATCCTATGAGTCCACTGTATATTCCGTACGCAAAGGATTCGACAACAACACTTTGAAACAATTGTACACATTGATTCGTTTTATATTTTATTATTATTCCGATAATTTCTCGGACATTTCAATAGAGTCCTCGAGATATTGTCGTAGCGAAAATTCGCCTTCCACCGAGGCAACCACATGTTTTCACCGAAAGCAATAACAGCAGAAATAAATCCTGTAACGAGTGGATCAAAAAGCAACGCGAAGCGACGTCGGTACGATTCAAGGTACCAAACCTTACACAACGAAATAAGTGAAACCGTTATAACGCCAGCGAAAAATCCGCAAAATTGAGTCTTTTTGTAATGATTGGCTCATTTTCTTAGGAAAATCTAAGTAAAGATATCAAAGATATAATATAAACTTTTAAGCACTGTTGTTTTTGATCCAATATTTGCAGTATGCGATTTTTGATAATCACAAAATTTGTTCTCGATAGTGAAACTCTGTTTCGATCTTTACTCAAATTCTCAGTCACAAGTTAATATTTCTTTTAAGATTATACTAGAAATATTATGCAAATCTATTGTTTTGTGTTTTATTTATATAATGTAACGTATAAAAGATTAAATATATTCCTATGAAACAGAATAAAACATCTAATTACGTTAAAATCATATAAATTATAGCAATCCTATGGTATGTGTATATAATTTATATTAATTTTTATTGCGATTGTTTAATTTTGTACAACATTTTAATAAAAATTAATTGTTCCGAAAATTAAAAAAATACGTTTTGTTAATTTTTCAAGGCGAACTTGAGTAAAAATGAAAATTATAGTTCCGCTATTGAGAACATAATTTACGACTGCAGAAAGTAGAATATTGCAAATATGGAATTACATAAATATCATAAGTATTTAAAAGCTTATACTGGCCTTGACTTTATTATCCCTTACTTAGACGAAACTTTTCGTTTATTTTCAAATCACCGTTATTTCTTTCGTTCAATTGAGATTTTCACGATCGTTATTCCTTTTCGGAATAGTATTTCAGACTCGGGTAATTCGACCAAATGTTCAACGCGGGTTTCAAGAGGACATTTATTACTATATTTTTTTCGCACGACACACTTCATAGAACGGGTCTCTCATGATCTCGCCAGATTATAACTATTTCACATCCCATCTACAACTAGTCACATCGGCGATTGTAGAAACGCAACGTGAATCACAGCGGTGAATCCGAGATCGTTGATGAGAGGACCACCCTTCCTCTCGATCTTGAGTAATCCTCGACATTAAGTCAAAGAGGCGATACAGATTAAATGTCGTCCGAACGGCAGGCAGCAAACCACAGCCGAGTTTTACGTCGGTTAACCGATACCGGATCATCCTTATCCTTGCGTATTCTTTTTATCTATGAGGAAACCGCGCGATCGTTGGATAGGAATTACTCGTTAAGAATAGCGCCGAGGACGGCAATGAGCGGATGAGTCGAAGAAGGGAGAAAGGGTGGTCTCGCATCTCGGCCTATCGTCTCAACTCCTCGAAACTCTCCTGGACCGCCGGATGAAGTGCCAATACCACCCGGCTGAAGCCGCTCGAGGAGCCGTGAGAGCCGTAATTGTCATGAGACGTGCCGTTATTATTGTGCTGTTGTTGTTGCGTTTGATGCGACTGACGAGCGCGCTGCGACTTCCCGGTCGTCGCGCCGTCGACGGAATTGAGCGATTGATGACTGCTGCTCTGGTTCGCTCGATGATTCCCGTGTAATTGCGACTCGGATAGACAACCGTAAGATCCGATGGGGTAAGAATCAAAGATCGTTACCGGCAATTCGCTCGTGCGCTCTCTCTGCTGCTGGCGGTCGGTTTTGCTCGCGGGGATATCGCCGGTTGCCGCATTGTTACCGCCTTGCAACTGGCTATTGGTTTTGCTGGAGCTCCTGCTACTTACGGAATTGAGCGATTGATGACCGCTGCTCAGTCCTCCTCCCGCTGTACCCCAAGTGCTACCATGCAATTGGGAGGCGCCATACGACGAGTAGCCCGCATAATTGGACACCACGTCCTCCACTAAGCGGTTTCCTCTTTGCTGGCCGGTCGTTTTGCTCGTGGCAATATCGTCGCTGGTGTTATTGCCACTCTGCAGACAGTTAGCCTTACTGGAGGAACTTCTGCCGCCACCGCCACCACCGCCACCACTGATGGAATTGAGCGATTGGTGGCCACTGCTCAGTCCTCCCGTCGTGCCCCAAGTACTACCGTGCAGTTGGGACGCGCCGTACGATGAATAACCCACATAAGTAGACACTACGTCCTCTACCAAGCGGTTTCCCCTTTGCTGGCCCGTCGTCTTGCTCGTGGCGATGTCGTCGTTGGTGTTATTGCCACTCTGCAGACTGTTGGTCTTGCTAGAACTCCTGCTGCCGGACGCGGACGTCCTTAAGGTGGGTCCGCCAGTGGTCGCGGGCTGCGCCGACGTAACCGCCGGTAGCGTATCGTTCTTATCGCCCGGCGGCCTCGGCAGTCGACGGCGTAGCCACGGATGCCTGAGTGCCTTGTTGGGCGTCATCCGGTATTCCGGCTCCCACACGAGACAACGTCTTAAAAAGTCCAGGAACAGCATGTCATCGCAGCCCTTGAGGGCGCGCTCGAGATCGTGCGAGCCCGGCGGACCACGTAGCTTCCCTCGTCTCGACAGACCCCCGCTTAGCACTGTCGTTCCGTCCGGCATCGCCGTCGCGGTGCAGTACTTCGGGTAGCCCTTCGAGCTGATGAACTGGCGCGACCTTTTCGAGTTCTGTAGCAGCCGCTGCGGCGGCATGCCCAGCATCTCGATGATACACGCCAGCTGGTCCGCCTCGTCCTCGCCCGGCAGCAGCGGGAAGCCGGTAAACAGCTCCGCCAGGATGCAACCAAGGCTCCACATATCGATCGGCATACCATATCTTGCACCCAGTATTACCTCCGGTGCTCGGTAAAAGCGACTCTGGATGTAAGTATATACCCGTTGATTTTCATAGCAGCTCGAACCGAAATCTATCACCTGAAACATGCGAAACGGTTTTGTTAATACGCAGAAGTAGATTAATGCAATTATAAATGATACAATTAATAATTACATAACATTTAATAAAACATTAAATCGAGAAATGCGATAGCTTATCACGCTCTCTGAGTGATATAATAAGTATAAGCTTTTTCTGAATTATATAGTTTAAAAAATATAAATATATTAATTGATATTTAATTAAATATTTAATCAGAATTTTTTTATAATATCGGTTTTGGCAAATCTAAATTTTACGTTTTTCTGAAAATAAAATTGCTTTTTTTCCGGAAGGAAGTACGATAATATATTTGCTATAGAACGCAGTATACATATATCTATTATCGATTTGTGATGTGACATGTTATACTACTATGTGCACGTACATAGAATTACTCATGAGAATCGATTAAATTCGTATAAAGCTCGGGTTCTTTAATTATTTCTACGCACAAAGACGGCGATAGAGTGATGGCGCAAAGCGAGATGCACATACATGTATATCTGTTTCTGGTTCGTTGTAGATATGTGGCCCGCGTAAAATAAGGCGCGTGTATCGTTTATGATGCACCTGGCAGCGAACGTGTCGAAGTGACGGTCCGATAATTTTACCTCACGTTTATCGAACATAACAACGTTTCAGTCACAACGTGCCTCAGTAACGATGCATAATCGCACAGTGCTTAAAAAAAGCACGTCTGCGAGAGCCGCAAATACCTTATATCGATATCTTATATCGTTTTATTACATACTTCGTAATAATATTTCTTAATTTTCAGAAATAATATTTAATTTATATATATTTTAAATA